CAGATATGAGCTGACAATCTTAATCAGATGAGGTCACATTGGATAATCTACCTGAAATTATTGCTCTATTGACCGCCCTATACGTTAAAAAATCTTATTATTATAAGCTTTGATCAGAATTATAATTAGGGATGTTTGATTCACCTTTTTGACATGTATTAATAATCGATTTATAAATTTTAATTTTATTTTAATTCAATGAAATATTAATATTGATCAAAATTTATAAGATATTTGGCAGTCTCAATATTTCACTCTTTGTAATTCAAAAAAATATTGATACCTTTAAATATAAGACTATTGATCAAGCTAACCAATTCATTTTATTGTTGGCCTAATCTTAATGTCTCAATCCATCGATCTAATCTAAAGATTCATTTGGGGCAGTTTTTTCATTGCTTTGCTTTTAATTTGTTGCTATAAAAGTTGTTTGGTTATTAATTTCATGCTTTTAAAAAAATTATGTCAAGAGAAGTGATTTTTATTACCGAATATGTTAGAGTATATGATAGCTATAAGAAAACAGTTATCCAACTTTTTAAAAGTTTATAATGCTAATGGTAGCTCTTTTTTTTTTTTTTCGCAATAATTTTGCAACTTTTTTACAAACAATTACAATCGCTACAAACATATCCTAAGGTAGAGAAGAAAAAGATGAATAACTACCGCATGTTCTATGTATGGGAAGCTTTGGAGGGTACTTTTTCGAGACTTATGAGCATATTTATCACAAACTCACACACATACCAATTATGCTAGGCAATCTGATGTAGGAACATCTTAGCTAATAGTAAGCTTAAGGACTAGCCTATCCTTCATCCTCTCGATAGTTCTATTTTACTCTTTAAATAGTTGGCTAATGTAAGGTTTTGAGCTCATTGAATGATATTACTCTCTTTTAAAAGCTTTTAAGCTTTGGGTTCTTCTTCATCCCTGGATTGGGATCGAAATCCTTCTTGCAGGTCGATTCTTCCGACGATCCACTACATCAGTTGGTATCAGAACCTGGAGCTTGCGAAGATCGATGAACTGCGGAAGAAGGTCGGCTGTCGACGATGATCGAAGCCGCAGAATAAGATTGGCGGTCAACGATGATCGACGACAAGGAAGGTGGGCTGTCGATGACGCTCGAAGTTGGATCGCCTTCTATCAAGCTCAAGCGAAGGAATCACTCGATCGGGTAGACATAAACCTTGATCAGATTAAAGAAAACCTTCGGACAATAAGGAAGATGCGAATGTCGTCGGCAACCATACCGAGGTATTCTTCTTCTTCCCTGGATTGGGATCGAAATCCTTCTTGCATGTCGATTCTTCTGACGATCCACTACATCACAATCTCAAGCCTATAATCTTGTGATTGGAGATGAAGCAGCCAACCATCAAGTATGTTGAGCTACAACTCAATTGAAGGCACTGTGTCATCTCATACATAGAAGCTTTAATGCAGACTTCTAAATTTCTTGAACTTGAAATTTTTGTACTAAAAAATTGCTTTAGAAAGCAATAAGCAAGTTGTCCATAAGGATATTATGCAAATGGGAGATATTTATAGATTTCCTTCGAGAAAAATGTTTTGAGAATGGTGTATAGCAAAATAGGTGGTTGGTGTAGAATCATATAAAAAGTATAAATTGCATTTCTTTTATCTTCACTTATTTGTTTAAATTTCTAGTACTTTACTTTCATATTCATAGAGTGATTTCTATAATTATATTCTTATGTGCTAATTTGATTAAATGAAGCATCATTATTATGCACCAAGCTTTTCTCACATATTAGCTAACTTAGTATCTCTTCATTACCCTTATAAACTTGTACATCTAATGATCATTGAACTTGCATTGTATCAATCAAATTAAAATTTCTAAGTATGCCTATTCATAGAGATATATGAGTGTAATAAAGAAAGTCAAAGGAACCCGACATCAACGTAAAAATAGAAAAAGATAGATGTTTTGTTCCGCTGTGTTTGATGATTCATAGTAGCTCTGTGTCTGTGTGTGTCTGCTTGAGTTAAGTTATTTGGAAGATTCAGTTCCGAACCAAATTCCATAACCAGATCCTGGTCAGTAAGTCAGTTCGTTCGTTCCGGTCGCGACCCGGTGCGAGCGGGATCCGTCCAGGATCGGGTTGGGTCGTGACAGTGGTTGTCTCGATATATGACAATGTTAGTATTAGATGAAGTCCTTAGAGAATTATTTGGTGATATTTTATAGTAACTTCATTCTTTAGAGATAGATCAAAATAAATGCTATGATATGTTGTGTGTAATAAGTAGAGTAATATGTGTCATATTATGGTTGAATCGAAGAGAACAATGAATGTATGATGACATACATGGTAGCTTCATGTAGTACCCATATGACAAATGTCATGTTATGATTGCACTAAAGAGCATGCCGCTTGTTCTAGAGCAAATATGATATGATGTGATGTACATACATATTAAATTTTATTCTCTTTACCATAATCTGAAAAGTGCTTCCCATATTCTAATTAAAAAAAAAAAAATGCTTCAGGCCACAAGAATGAACAATTTTTTATTTTTATTCATTTATTTATTTTTTAATAATGAACATGAGTTATATTGTTGTCAGATTATTGTATTGAAAAACAAACCAAGGTCCTGAGTTAATTAAAAAGAGGGATTTACATACATATCATTTTATTTCATACTATTTACATATTTAATATTTAAAATTTTAATATTACATTCCTACCATTCATAAAATTTTTTAATATTAAATATATCACTCATATAATTTATTCTTACCACCCATACTATTGTATAAGCTTTAATATATCATGCAATACACCCATATTGAGATTTACATACAAACCACTCTACTACTATTCTATTTACATATTTAACACTTAAATCTTTAATATTACATACATACCACCCATAGTTCATTTTTATATCAAATATGAGCGGTAGAAATTAAATATATGAGTGGTAGGAAGGAAATATGAGTGTCATATTTGATATTAAAATAGTATAGAATGGTATGTATGTAATATTAAAATTTTAAGTGTTAGATATATAAATAGAATGTTATAATGATATACATGTAAATTTTCTTAAAATTTTATGTATTACATATGTAAATAACATTAAATAAAATGATATGCAAGTAAATCCCCCTAATTAAAAAGCGGATGCTAATACTGTAATACATCAAGCCAAGGACCTGAGTTCATCTACTATCACTGTGCCTGTTATATAAATCTCCTAAACGAGGAGGGTATAAAAGGAAAAAAAAATGGCAAAGGTCGCAGACTTGCTGTCCATGGACTTCGAACGGCGGAAAGCCGAAACCCTAGCGTCCTTGGTGGCGCCGTGGCCGGACAAATCTCCGAAGGGAAGTGTCGATGCCGCCATTGCACCCCTTCTGGATGTGATCAACCTCCACTCTTCCTTTTTCACAACCAGCTCCTGCTCCGGCCGAATCTCCATACTCCGCCAACCTGGAGAGAGCCCTAAACCTAAGCATAACGAGGATAAAATAAACCCAAGGAAGAGTAAGAAGAAGGCTGGAGGCGGCGGTTGGATTTTTGTCTCGCACGAGCCTGTGGATCCCGAAGTCGTAGTCGACCTTCTATTCAAATCGCCGGCAACGCTGAGTACAGTGGAGATGGAAGAAGTGGAAGGTGGCACATTGGTTTTTCGGTTTGAACCGCTTATTGTTGCAGTGGAGTGTAAGGACGTTATGGCAGCGCAAGAGCTCGTCGCAACTGCTATCGCATGTGGCTTCAGGGAATCCGGTGAGCTAAACTCCTTGCATTTGCATTTCTAAATTTTGCTTTTTTTTCCTTGATTACTGTAAGTCGAGCGTTATCCTCTGGCAACCAGCAACTTAGCCTGGAATGTAGTTTTTACAGATGAATTGGATTATAGGGCAATACTTTCAATGCAAGTGTGCATAGCGTGGAAACAAAGGTGGATGATTCACTGCAATTGTTCTTGATTCTAGAAATTTTCTGTGCTTTTGGAGGCGAGCAATCATAGGCATATTCTTTTTTTGATGGCTATAGAGATGCGGATGACTTGGGCTAGTGTTTGGAGAAGGTTTACGGTTTAATAGATGGGTTAGTATAGGAAGAAGAGTTGTTATTCTCTTTTGTTTTGATAGAGTGAGTGTGTGTGTGTGTGTGTGCGGGGGGGGGGTGGGGGGGGGGGGGGGGGGGTGTTTGCGCAGGTTGTTAAAAGAAGGAGAGACTGTTTGTAACTGGAGAAAGCATGGGTTTTGGGTTAGAGAGAGTTGGTTTGGCTGGGAGAGATAGGGTTGACATAGGCTACAAATATCTTGTGATAGAAAAGAGAAAGAAGTGCATGAGTACCATTGGGTTGAAACAAGGAGAGACTGTTTTTTTTTTCTAAGAACTTATGTAAGAAGGAGAGACTGGTTGTCACTAGAGAAAGCATGGGTCTAGGGTTAGAGAGAGGTGGTTTGGTTGGGAGAGATAGGGTTCGTATAGGCTACAAATAGCTTGTGATAGAAAAGAGAAAGGAATTTATTTGGCTGAGGATGCCGCAGATCAAAATTGATGAGCAGGTACACAATCTTGAGAATCCCAATGGTGAGAGGAAGCAACATATTAAGAGAAAATGTGAATTCTAGACAATAGAGAGGGATGTGCAGGGCAAAATATCAGGCAAAAAAAAAAAAATGATATCATAAAATCTCATTTAACTCTATTGTTCTTGAGTTTAAGGTCCTATATGTGGGCATCTATATGCTCCTTAAGTTTTACTTAGTAGTGATGTCAGTGTGATGATGCTGTAGATGCTAGTAGATGGTCTCCATCAATTCTCTTGGGGCAGCCATGACTCTTTTCTCAACAATAATTATGGTACTCTCAATAATTTGGATGATCAAACCATCAAATTAGCCATTTCTGCTTGCTATAAGGGTTCATAGTGACCTAATGATGTGAATCTAGAAGGAGTTGCTTACAGAAATTAAAATGATAATTAAATAAAGCGTTACCACCACAAAGTTATCACCGATAAAGTAAAGGATTAAATAAGTTCTAGGTAATCAACTTGCTTAGGCGAAGAGCTGCTTTGAGATAACCAAACAATTCAAACAACATCCAATGATAAAAGAAATACTTAAATGCTCATAACAAAATCCTACGCTTAATAATGAGAAAATTCACCTCGAGCACCTTCTCACTCATTCACTCTTGGCTTTAGCGGAGGAGAAAGAACCATACAAGGATGGAGAGCACCACTACGGAGAAGGAGACGAAGGACTTTGTTACCAGAGAGGTAACCGCCGGTGGAGGTGGTGGTGGATGGCGTCCGGTGATTGTCCAAACGTAGTCTTGGAATTGGCCGTCGATGACGTGCACTAGTGTGGGGAGGATTCGATCCAAGTAATCTTCCACTGTGTTTTCACGGTCAAACCCCACGTCGAAGAATGGAGATCGAAGAACGTGGATGTTTCCGTAGGCGTCGAATACGAGTCCACCTTCAAATTCTGGATTCGCCATTCATAGGGGGATTGAATGGGAAGAAGAAATAGACAGACGGAGGAGCTTGCCGTGAGCTAGGGAGAGGGACGGGTGATGGCGCTGTGACCTTGGAAGAGGAAGGGGAATGTCGTCGGTGGGGTGGGGAGGAGAAGGGGGCGGATGAGTTGGGATTTGGGGGGGAGATCTTGTTTGGAGAAAATATGAATTTGAATTTCAGATTTTCTTTGATTAGAGGGAGAGATTATTTGTAATTAAAATCTCCCTAAATTAGGCTAGAGAGAGGGGCGGCTGTTAGGGGGGGATTAATTGGCTAATTAATGGAGGCTTAGGTGGCGAGTGGAGAGAGAAACGGCTAAGGGGGGTGGCCGGCCATGCAAGGAGGGAAAAAGGGGAATTGAGATTAATTGGTGGGGCAAAGGAAATTAAGTCAAATATGATTAATTTCAGATTTAATTTAATTTAGGAAAGTTTCCAAATGAGGGGAGAGAAGAGAGGGAATTTGAATTTGAATTCAAAATAGATTGGGCCTCAATTAAATCCCTTTCCTATTTGTGGTGAGGTAATTTAGGAAAGTGTTAATGAGGGAATAAATGTTGAAATTCAAAATTCAAAATAGAAAAAAAAAGAAGAGGGCCGGCGGGATGGTTCACGGGGTGGAGGAGCTGGGCAAGGGGGGAAAAAGGCGGGCTGGCTTGAGCGGCTGCTAGCACAACTTTGGCAGCAATCGGGAGGGTTTTTTGGCTGCCTGGTTATTTGTGTGGTGATCGTGGACTGTTTGAAGGAGAAGAAAAAAAGGTTGTGTGTGTGTGGGGTTGGTGGGGGAAGACGAAAACAAAAAAGATAAAATAAGGCCAAGAGCTCACCTATGTGGGCTGTTGGGTATTTCGGGTGGAGCCTCTCCTAGGTCTCATCTCTTTCTCTCAAGCTCTCAAGCAAGAAGAAGAATGAAAATCTCAGAAATTTTATTAATCAAACATTAACCTCATACAAAGTAGAAGACCTCTTTATATAGGTCTCATCAAAAGAAAAATAACATGACTCAAATGCCCAAAGGGCTACAACAATGACTAAACATCTATAAGTGCAAAATAGTAAACTGAAATTAAAAGATACATGGAAAACATCAGAATATACATGGAAAAACATCAGAAATATAAGCTCCTAATCGTAGCCGTCGATTTACGATTCCTTTGTCGGTAGACCTGCCTAAAATGTCTGTCGATGACCTCATCACCTAATTTGTAATTATTTGCTCAATTTTAGATGTTGCTTGACTGATGATAGCAGAGGAAAAAATAAAGGCTTTGGGGATGTTGTAACTTCATTAAAAGATGCAATTGTAGGAAATATAGGAGGTTTAATGTACCTCAATTAGGTAATAAATATTTGATATTGAAATTGGAGTTCATATTCTTGATAGTAAGTAAATTAGCTTTTTGGAGAAGAAGGATCGATGATTCCAACAAAGTAGCTCACGACAAGGTCTTGTAGGAGAAGGTATGGACGAGACAATACTTTGGAGAAGAAGAGGAAGTCGTGGAGGGAGCTCACTAGAGAAGGAATGGCATGACCATCGTCATTGGAGGAAGAAGAGATGTTCATGTTGCTTTAATGCAGTCGCTCTGTGAAGTAAATTAATGAATAATTCTATAGCTTTCGCACCTCCGCCCCTCCCCCAACGAAAAAGCTCCTTTATATTCAAGTTGATTAACTCAAAAGAAAGAGGTTGACAACCTCTGGTAGAAGAAGGAAATGACACAAGATGTTTTTTTTTTCAAATGGAGAGGCATGAAAATCAAACTTGGATATGAAAATAAAATATCTAAGTTCATTAGGAGGAGGAGGGTCCATTTGATAATGCCATTGAAATAAATAAATAGTTGCAGAGAGGGTTGAAGATACATGGGTCAAGCGACCCAACCAGCTTCATCACTTTTTTAATTGATTTCTTTGCATTGAGGTCTTAAAAGACGATGAATGGGATAAAATATTGCAGAATAATATGAGTTTTCTTAAGGTAATGAGTAAATAATAGGTTAATAGAATTTTGTGGAACATATAAAATTTTGAGAAGAAATATTCCACAAAATTCTGAGAAGGAAATATTTCAGGGGATGTATAATATCCTGTTTAGATAAATGATACGTGAACAATGATATGTAATAGAGAAATTTGATGGACATGAAAAAGTTGGCGATGACTTATCATAGGAAGAGACACTTGAATCTAAAACCAATGTCATATTAGTAGAGATAGTTACATTGTATTTAGAGGAAGGGATTGCATGAGACTCTGGTATTGATGTTTGATTATTGAAATAGGATAGTCTTCTTGAGAAATGATAGCAAATCCATATGACCAAGTAGCAAGTTTGGGCTAATTGTTGAATTATGTTGAACAATTAAAGAAGAACATAATTTCTTCCTAGTAACATTCATGAGGATATTTATTTTGCTAAAATGTGGGAAATCTATAAAGATATTACGGATAAGATCACCACTATCTCAACAATCATGTGCATGGTTCCCTCGACCACCCCTAAAACCAACGCATATCAATCATATTTTTAGGTAGGTGCAGTCATCCATCAATTGAGATTGCACACCTTGTAGAGAAATATATATGCTGAAGATAAAATTATCAATAAGGAATTCTTTATCATACTTTTACTAAATAGTATGAATAGTTGTAAAAGAGAGGGTATTTAAGTAATTTATCTTATTCTCTCAATATGCTATAATACTCTTGATCTACATATCATTTTGCTTTTGAAAAAAAAAAAATTTCAGAATAAAGAGTGTAGGCACGAGAGTTATCACTTTTCTAAATATACGTGGATCATAGAAAATTTTGTATTTTTTGGGTAAAATGCTAAAACATGAAATTTAAGGTGATAAAAGGTTCTATGCTATTGAGTAGTAAGGTAAAATCAACACAGTCAAATGCTTTCCACTTGAAAGATTTGTTGATATTAGTGTTGTTTGGAGGAGAGGCATCAAGATTATGAAGCATGTCATGAGAATCAACGAGGAACCGAGAGGCCCTCGATCATGGGAGATAATTTGTACCATTCAATTTTATATTGTTTTGATATTGCAGCATTGGTTTCAATTCATTGGAGATAAGATTGAGAAGCCATGAAATCATGTTGAAAGGAAAGAAGAATTTAAGAGACAACTTATATCATAAACACTTTTGAGCCATGAAGTGGTCAAGCCTTAAGGTTGCAAGTGAGCAACATTGAGTGTAGAGTTGTGTGCATGGGCAAGGACACTAAGAGATGGGATGGGGGGCAATAAGTAGGGAATATAGATGAACATGTGTGGCTGCTCGCGGAGGGGTGGGGATGGTGTGAGCAACATGGAAAAGGAGATTGAGGAACAAATACAATGATTTAATGAACACCCAAGATAACAGTGGGTTTCGAGAATTTACGCCCCAACCTTTGGTTGGCAATTTTAAAGATGTTTCTGGTCAAAATTTCAAAAGACATTTTAGATTTAAGATAATATACTGCCAATAGATTTTGCTTTCATTTTGTGAAGACTTTATGACCTAGTTTTGGTTCCCATTAGCATAAATTCTTATGGCTAATTATCTCTCCCAATAATGTGAGAGGAGTTTCGATTAAAGCTAGTTATCAGATAAACACTATATGCTTCGTATATATAGTAGCAATTTACTTTTTAATTTAAAATTTATTACCATGAATTTAAATTGGATGGTAGGGAGGATGATGATAAATCCAATCAAGATATCATGGTTCGTTGTTTTTGGTTATCATGATACATAGTCTATATAGTCAGAAGAGGTAATTGACCCAACCTAATCGAAATTTTTTTTTCTCGGTAGCTATGGGACCTCAAATTCAAAATTTTGGCATACTTTGATCGAGACACATAGGTGGAGTTTTGATTTTGATAATTTGACGTGGAGTTTTGATTTTGATAATTTGACATGGAGTCTATACTTTTGAAGCTTTTTCACATATTTAGTGCATTTGTGTGAAATGCTTACACATTCTTCGATGCACATATAAGACACATTTGTATGCTTTTCAATGCATTTCTAAAATATAATTACATTCTTTGTAATGTATATGCACGCATTTCGATGCTCCTAGACAATGTAATTGCATGCATTTGCATAGCATTTTTGCACATTTTTTCAATGCATTTTACTTGTGTTTCTAGAATGGTGGCATGCTTCTCGGAGGAGTTGCACATATTTCTTGAGGCAGCCACACATTTCTATAATAAAAATTGTATTCACACTATTTTCTGTTTGTGCAAATTCTTGGATTTTAAATTCAGGTGCTTAGCACGTTTGTTGGGGCACATGCAGAGATTTCATCTCAAAAGATTTGATTTTATTGCACAATTTTCAGTGCTCCTCCATCAAGTACTTGCAAATTTTTCAATGTGCTTGCATAACAATTGCATAGTTTTTTGTACGTTTGATGCATTGGCACATTTGTATTTTGATAGAATACAACAGTCACCTTGCGATACCTGTATATAGCTTGAAAATGTTCTGATTTAATTATTTTGATTGCCTTTATGATGCTTTGCATGAATTTTAAGACATTATATCAGAGTTGGAGATTGTCTTGTGAAACTCATGTAAGTATTGAAATTATCCAAAATTTTTTATGGTTGCATGTATATTTTGTCACTAGGATTTAGATTTTTAATCAATCACTTTCTATCGCTTGAGCGAAAATATTATGGATCAGACGTCAAAGATGATTTATTTGGGATGAATGGGAATGTCAACACACACATGTACATGTCATCCTTTTTATCATTTAATATGCTAATTTTAATGTCGTTGGTCCCCTCAGAGTTCATTTTTCTCTTATAAATATGAGGGAAGGGAAGGGTTAGTTCATTTTCACTGTTTATGGGTTTACATGAGTTTATTATTGTGTGTTCTTGTTTTGAGTGCAACTGTGAGATCTTGTTCACTTTCTTGGTAAATTGTAGCTTGTTAATGCCTTGCTATGATCTCTATTGAAACAATTAACGTTAATATTACAATGTTGGTGGAAATAATTTTTTGTTCGAGATGTGAAAACTCTAACATATTTTAACATATCATGGTCAATTTATTTCTAATTCTTAAATTGATTTTGCAGTTGTCTCATGTATTCATTGAATGAAATAAATTGTTCTTTAAGTTTATATTTTATTTCCAATCAGGTATATTTAATAACATTTCTTCGCCGATAATACTGGTTATGCCCTATGTTGCTTTATCAAACTCACCACTCTGGGAAACTGATTTGCTTAAGTAATATTCCAATTGCACATTTAGGTTTTTTAGGATGCGATGAACAAAATTAGGCGCACAAGTTCACCTTTGTAGTTCATAAGCTTTCAATTAAGACAATTATTTATCAAAATTTCAAAATCCAATGGTGCAAGGGAAAACACTTGTCGTAAGGTTGATGTGTAAGCCTCGAGGCATGGAGTGTAATTCTTATGAATTTATATATTTAATATTTAATAAATAAATATCATGAAAAAAAATCAAATATAATAAAAAAACTTCACTAAATTTCAAAATATAAAGTTTTCAATCACAAGATTCATATTATAAGTCGAAAATATGATCGACTCAAATTTATAAATAAAAAATAAAAAATATGACTTAAAAATGAAATATGTCGAGGGAGAGTTGGCATATGGTTTTAGCAAAGACCAGTGATGAGTCAATAAGAGAAACAAGGAACATCGAAGAATCTAGTGAGAAGTGGGTAGAGATCCTATGATAGGTGCGACATGTAGGAGATGATGTGAATCGGGCTTATGGCTTCATTGTTTCTATGTGCTTGATAGAACTTAAATTTTAAGAGATTAAAAGTCAAGTGGTATTTTCATTACTATTGTTATTTAAATAACCTAAATTTTATTATAATAGTTTAAAATTTAATAATTTGGTAATTTAATTTAATTTTAGTTTTATTTTGGGGGCTATCATCCCATTAGCTAGGTGGAAAAGCGAGTACACACTGCGTGGGGTGATACCTTGTCCTGCAAGGCATACATCTTGAAGGTTGAATTTCTTTCCTGATTAATTTTGCTTTACTCTACTTGAGGCAAGCCCTAAGCAAGTTCCAAAAATATTCATAAATGATAAATTAATAGTCGTGTAATAGAAATTTCACATAAAAATTCAGGCAAAAAAAAGTTACAAGTTATTTTGAAAATTGCACAAAACCTAGTTTCACTGAATTTGGAAAGACTGAAAAATGCAGTCAAACCAATTACTAAAATGAGATTATAATAATGTGAAAAGATTAGAAACCATCTATAAAAAAATTGATTTGTCAAAATAAAAATCATGTAGAATATTTTTAGATTACTTAACGCGCCATATTTATATCATAGAGCCTCCATAGTTATAATTAACAAAGTACTAGAAAATTGGCTTAGGAGTTAGAAATCATCCCAAACTAAGAAACCTGTGGGATATCAAAATCCCAGGTTAAAAATTCATGCCACAAAAACTGTTAGAATTGCAATTTACGGACAACAGAATCAAATTGCAGCAAATAGGAAATACTATAACTAGATTTCAAGGAAACCATTAGATACGTGTTGTTGAGAACTGAAGGACCTGATTAGCAACAATTTTCAAGAAACAATAAAATAACAAAAGCATCCAAAATAGTAGGGATGGATGGTTGGAGTTTGACATCCACTACTCTCTTTCGATTCATGTTGTTCTTATTGGGGATTGCACATAAAGGGTTCTTCTTACAATGCTTCAAAGAAGTATGGGCACTATTTTTGTTTTATAATATAAAAAAATCTGAAGACTGAAGCTTTATTGATTAATGCATCATGTGTTAGTAACTTATATTTGCTGTAATCATTATAAAAAATACTTTATATTTAAATGAGTAATTTGCATTACTGTGCTCTTTCTGTTCATCTTCTCTCCATTTTGTTTGATTTTTTTCATTTCAACACTAAATAGTGTTGGATTTTTTTTTTTTTTTTGGAGATTTGGACGTACATTTGTCTATTGTCTAAATTAAACTTAGGAAATGCTTGCTTTTAATGACTGGCGATTTGTGTGCCATATTTACAGGTATTACAAGTATGAATAAGCGTGTTATGGTTGCCATACGTTGCTCTATACGTTTGGAGGTGCCTCTAGGCCAAGTTGGCTTGATTATGGTATCACCAGAGTATGTTCGGTATTTGATTGGGGTTGCCAATGAGAAGATGGAGGCCAATAGAAGGAGAACAGATAATTTCTTTCGAGTTTTACAAGATAAGGTATGCTTCACTATCAGTTTAGATTTCTTTTTTTCTTTTTGCATAGCTAATTTTGTCGGACCAGTTTCTTTGAATCAAATTGGTTCTTTCTTGGTGATATATACTATTAAGATTTTCATGCTCTTCTGAAGTTTTCAAAACAAGAAAAAAAATGCTCTTCTGAAGTTTTGAAATGATCTTGAATTTAATGTATGTTGTTTGTGTGGTTTTTGTATAGGAATCTTCTTATGGTGCTTCTGTTTCATCCAGTGTTGCATGCATGACTTTACTATATATCTTTGGAAGGGCATCATTTTTCATTAATGACATACACTAATGGAATCATTTCAAGTGGGCATTGGCTTATGATTTTTTTTTTTAATTTTTTTTAGTTTTTCACATAAAACCTCTGGTCTCTTACAATTTTTTTTTCATCTGTGTATTAAATTTTCGTTCAAAGCTAAAGCATTAAACCATCCCACTATCACCGTGAATATCCTAAACACAATAATTAACATCATATTGATGTGGTATTTTTTTGTAAAACCAGCACCTTTTTCCTTGGTTTTATTATATGTTATTGTCTAAATTTATCTGCTATAAACTGCTATAAACTTATAGGTTCACCCTAGTTCTGCAAAGAAGCTAATCCACTCTGCTAAAAAAGCTCAAGCTTGCTTAGCTGTTGAAAGAAATTTACTTGGTTTTGAAGCTAAACAGAGGAAGATGGCATTAAAGAAATCACAACATGAACACGAAGAGATGCAGTCTCATAACCAAGATAATGTTTCATATTCTGTCGAAGATAAAGGTAATCTTACTTCTTGCAATAATCCCCAAATGAGTTTATAAGCTTTTGTGTTGTAGTTTAGATATTTCAAAAAAAAAAAAGAAAAGGTAATAACTAGAGCCTGATCAAGTTAATAACAAAAAAAGCCAAGCATACATTGGATTATGTTCTCTTTTGTGATCGTCACTTTTTTTTGTGGTTCCATTTTGCAATAAATAGATTCCTCGTTGAATTAGGCACTGCTATGTGAAATATGAACTCTATTAGCATAGTCTACTAGTGCTATATGGATCAATTCAAAAGTCAGGACAATTTACTACATAGCAAAGACATAAATTAGTTTAGTATATCATTATTCGACTAAAAGGATAGTAATAGTATGAATGGAACCAATGTCTATGATTGGGGAAATTCTAAAGATGCTCAACAGATGAGAGAATTTAGGATTGCCACTAGAAAGAATAGTCCGCCATAATGATGCACTAGATAATACTCCTTTTATCAGTTGACCAGCTTAGAAGATGCAAAGGGCGCAGATAGTCAAATCTGTAAGATTGATGAAATTACAAGTAGCGCAAATAGAGTATTTTCTAGCCGTTACCCAATGAAAAATTGTTCTAGAATCTTTTCACTCTCTGTCAAGGAATGCAAAAGAAATAAAAAACAGCAAAATTTTTTCTTACTTTAAGTAATCTTTTGTTTAACATGGTTAATTATCTAAAACGATCTGACAAAAAAAAAGGTCAATTGGCTTATCAAATCGTGTGGATGTCTGCCTCTTCTTGCACGTTTATTGTTTAATTATCTTTAAAGTACAGCTTTTAAGCAGCTTGTATGTAACCAGATGTTTGAGCCTCTTAGGCACTAGGAGTGATTTGGCTGGGCGGGAGCATGATATTGCATATGGGCTTCTAATACTATTATATATCAGTGAAATTTATGAAGTTTTTGTCAATCTTTAATTTGAGGCGAGTTAAGCCTACCCTTTAAAACTGGATCGTTAAACCTTCTTCCGACTCAGTTGATAGAACTTACAACTATTGTTGATATCTGCTGAAAGGAAGAAATATTCTGGATTGGGTTGTCTCCTTTTGAGAAACTATCCCGTTTCACCTTGATTTTAGTCTGCTTAATATCGTGTAACTTAATAAAGTAAATGAATATGGTAATATCATATACTAGCTTGCTTTATTTTTTTTCTCCTTTAAACTCATTGAGGGATTGCCATGTTGTTTGCATGGGTGATGTTGACCTTTTAACAAATACATTTCTCGATTGTACCGTTGTTTGCTTGGGCAACTAATGGGGACATATAATCATGGAAAGTATATCAGAGACGTGGCCGACGATCTACGACCATGATCGCGCCGATCTATTTTTGAGTCTTCATATGTATTTGTTTTATTTATTTACTTTATGTATTTGTTTTAGTAGCATTTCCCGTTTTACTCTTAATGGTTTTGTCATATGTAAGCCCTAGGGGCAATGTCATCTTTTATTTCCCTTTCGTTGTATGAGGCTATATATTGGCCTCTTATGTTTCTTTTGAAGTTAATGAATGAATGAATTATAATCAAATTTCTGCAAATTGAGTTCTTGTGAGAGCTTGAGAGTCTTTGGAGAGAAATCCCTAGGAGAGGGAATCGGATCACCCACCAACCTTGGAAGCATCAGGGTTCGTGGCTATTTTCTTCCCTATTCTCTCTTCTCCTCCCTCCCTTCCCTTCCACCACCCGGTCCAACCACCCCTTCCAAAACAGTCGGCCACCTCCGAAGTTCCCCACCACCAGCCAACGATATATCCCCATCCCTTCCTCTTCGGCGAACACCCCCAACCTCCCCATCTCCCAATCGACCACATCCCCCACACACCAAACCGGCGGCCCATCCAACCCTAGACATCGGCCTCCTTTTAATTTCCCCATCAATGCATGCAATCAAAGCCCTTCCTAATTGGGTCTTTATATTTTAGGTAACACAATTAATTCATAAATCAAATCTATTTGAACATGAATTTGTTTCCTAAAATATGAAGTTCTATTTTAGGAAAGTTTCCAAAATAAAACCTATTTGAATTTTAATGTAGATTGGAATGAGATCCCTCCTTCCTAATTTAATATTCCAATTTAAGTAAGCTTGATTTCTTTCCCCCAAACCACTCTCTTTCCCTCTTGACACCCCCACCCTAAATGCTTTCCAAATTTAAAGTCTCTCTCCTTCGAAAGGATGCAAAGCCTCTCCCTCTCTCTTACCTGCCCCCTCCTCTTTCCAAATCCCCCTTAAATCCTTTCCATTAAAGGATTAATTAGGGAAACAATTTCTTAAATTCCCTCCATCCTCCCTCCTCTAAAATTTGAACCTAAACTTCCCCCAAGCCCCTACCTTGTTCTGCCACCCTCTCACCCTTTCTTCTCCTTAGATTCTGATGCAACAAAAAATATAGGAAAACTACGATTGCAAACAAAATCTACGTCCTTCTTTCATAAACATCAAAATTTAACAATATATCATGAAAAAACAACTTAAACAAAACACAATTTAACTTTCATATTAAAAAGACGACACATACAAGGTTATAACATAAAACACCTAAAAAAGTTTTCTTTGGTCGAGAAGAAAGATACAAATGAGGTGGGCACTTGCGGTGATAAGAATTAGATAAGAAGCCCGAGACGAATTCATAGAAGAAGGGGAAGACGAAGAGGCATAGCTCGCAAGTTATCAGAAAAACCCTCAGGTTTAAGTTTCCAAAAATCTCTCCATAACATCATCTTTTCTACTCCAAAACAACTTATATATATATATATATATATATAAAGAGGAAGCCAAACATCCCCAACCACCTCCAGCCGAACCAACTAGAAGAAGGGAGAAAAGGCCAACAGGCGGCTCCTGGAGCAGCACTCGAAGGGACCACACGGGGGACATGAACGGGCAACCACAGGGAACAGGAACAGCCAGCCACGGGACAGGAGACAGGCGGAGAAACCGAAGGCTAAACAGAGGGGGGGGGGGGGGGATGAACTTGGACCACCCATTTATGAGCAAAAAGGGCATTTAAACATCATAATGAGCTGATTTTAGTAGAAGGACGCAACAACACACCAAAAGGGGCAGCATAACCCGAGACAACCAAGCCCAAACAAGGAACCAAATCAACCCAAGTAACAAGGCACATCAATAGCCCCCCTTCCCCCCTCCCTCCTTTGCCTACATCAGATTCCTTAGAGAAACTTCTTTCTCTCAAGGGGAATCCCCAAGAATAGCTAAGGGACGTCTTCTACAACACTTCAACACTACGAAATCGATGCATGGCCGATCCTGAACTCGACTCCGGATTCGTCTACAATGAACAACGTTTCGTCGACATCCTCGGATCAACTTTCTTCGACGTCAATCTGGAGGTAGATAATTCCGTCGAGGAATACTTGGAGCGAATCATATTCACCCTTTTTGAAGCCATCGAAGAAAAACTTTCCACCGTCCAGTGGAAAATCACCGCCGTGCCTCGACAAGGGTGAACTTTTTCCCTCTTCAATTTCCTTCCTGATCTTCTTCACTTGTAAGTTGTGAATCAAGCATAAGGCATTGTGCAAAGCTATCTGCCTAAGCTTAGTAAATGTAGGGAATGAGTTATGACTTCATATGCATCTACTCTCATTGTTAATCTAGGGATGTTATTGAAAATCCCCTAAATTTGCTTATGTTGAAGTTCTAATTGTTTTTAGATCCTAACTATTATCGTGTGATTTGGCCTAAGCAGAGGCACCCCTCTTGTTTTCTATTGTTTTTAAGTGGATAACGTTCTAATTCTTATTACTCTTGCTTAAAAGCGTGCAAATCTTATTTCAATCATTTAAATCATACATAGTCCTACATCAACAACTCATATGTCTTTTAATAATGGCAAAAAAGTTTTTTATGGTTAATGCATGCGATGCCTGTCCTTTACTAATTATAATCAAATCTCCCTTTCCATAGCATTTGCACCTCTTTTCCTATCCTAGTGACGAGACAACCATATGGGAATCTAAGATAAGACTCGATTAGATATTTGATTGAATGACTTATATATAATGTAGAGATGATGGCCCAATTACAAGTTATAAACCCTGGAAATCTAAGAAAGACTAGTAATTAAGTATTTAAGAATGAAGGTCAAGAAATTAAACTGCTATGTAATCTTCCTACATGAAGCATTTGTTAGAACCAACATTAAATGCTATAACAATGCTTGAAGATTGTTTTTGAGTATACCAAGTCACAACTTGATTGGAAACTTTTCAATTCAATGAATAGAAACATGGATTTCAATACTAGAGCTGATTTCAAATCGTTTATAGGGTTTGGTGATTTAGCTTTGAAGTAGTTGGCTTTATTTTTTCTAGGACGTTTGAAAGCCAAGTGTAGATTAATTGTTGTAAAAGGCTAAAAGAGAAAAATAACACGCTTAAATAGAAAAAAGAAGCTAAAGAAATAGGTTGAGTAAAAAGGAAGAAGGAAAATGAGCAGAAAGATTATGTATCTCATACTGATTGGTTTGCAAATCACTTAGCGCTTCTATGGGTCTTCGAAAGGATACTTCTAGCGGGGGTTAGAATGTAAAGAGTGCAATTGCACTATCCCGTAGGGCAAAACGGTCGTAAACCTTGACCTTGACAAGCAGGCTAAGGAAAGAGCAGATAAAATTATACATATGATTATTTATGAAAAATAGCGGCTTTCACCTACACATCTCGATGTATAATAATTTATATAACTCGATAGTCATGAGATGTCCCCCCATTCGATATATAAGCTCGAGTGATGTTTATTTAATATGGGTGTTGGTTTCCCATGGGCGCAAGTTCCCATGTTTAATTACATCTTAAGCCTTGACTTAATAATACTCTCGATTAGGAATACTATTTTTTTTTCTTTGGCTCCTTCGCTTGGCTTTGTTTGAACGAGGGAGAGATGGTGTAGCTAGGCATTGGGTCGACGACGCGTTTGTGCGGGTGAAGTCGGAGAAGACTGGTCTCCTTCTTGCGATCGCAAAAGATGAAGAGAGGAGGGGGTTCGACCTTGCGTGCACGGTTGGGAGAAATGAAGGGGAGCTTGGGTCGTTTGTGAGAGAGAAATTGGAGGGAGAGGGGTTCAAGAAAGACTAAGCCACAAAAGAAAGTTCTCCCTTTTGTTTGATGCCGCCCCTGGTCGTTTTATCTCGAGCAAAGCCTGCTCTTGATCTTTGCTAAAGTTGATCACGTGCCTGTGTGTAACACTGGGGTTCAGATTTAGAATTTCAAAGAGATCAACTCCATTGATTGCATTTCTTGATTTGGTTCAAATTTGAGTTTGAATTGAACTCAATTTGAATCTAATTGAGTCTATTTGAGTTCAATTTAGTCCAATCGAATTAATTTAGTGAAATTGAACCCAAATTGACATTGATTTGATTTGAATTGGGGTTGACGAGGATGGAATGAATCAATCAAGCTTGATTGAACCTAGTTGGGTCTAATTTGAATTGATTCAATTCGATCTGATTCAAATTTGGCTCGACGGGATTCAATCAGGTTGATCGAGCCCGATTGGGATCATATCCACTTGATCGGATGAATGAAAATACACCCAAGGGGCATCGTGCGAAAAATGAGGCCAACTTTTTTTAACACAAATCCCTCATGAACTAGAAGGAAATACTATTATTTAAAAACCACATACCAATTGAGGCTTTTCCCACTATAAATTAATAAATATTATATGACATTTAGAATAGGTTAAAAAGCTGAATTATTACCCCTTTCGCCCCTCAAGTAATGACAACCAAATCATCTGAATCATGCTATAACCTCACATAAACTGAAACAGCAAGTCATGCGGCTATGCTAACTTACATAAAAAAAGCCCCCTTGAAATCAACTTAAACAAATCGAAATTAATGTTCAGTCAAATTCTCTATTATTTTACTTTTGACCTAGACTGAATTCACCATCAACCTTTCATATGTCTTGTGTTTTACTTAACAATTAAAGAAAAGAAAAAAAAAAAGATTATTGATTGGAATTCAAAGATTTCCCTTTATGTAATTTCTATTTAATGATTTTCATATATTAGTCATTTGCTTTTCTTATTTAATTTTATTAGGTTATACGCTTTTGTATGCTTGGCATGAAAAGTTGGAACGGAATGCCATGTTCTGCCCCTTATATTCATTCTTTTTACTGGTTTTCTTAGAGCAAACCATGTTTCTTTTCCTTTTGGATTTTAACAGGGTCAATCATATGCCTGTCTTTTAAGGAGTATTATTCTTCTGTTATTTATCAAGTTGACTGAATAGCATGCAGAAGTGCTTTAATTAATGATAAAAAATAGATGATTTTGGATTTCTTGGTGCTTTATTGCTTGTATTTAGCTGCTCAAAAATTTATTTTCGATGGCTGAACATGCTCCCACATTAGAAAACATCATATAAGTGTTTGTGAAGAAAAAATGAGCTATATCACAAGTATACGGCTACAATAGTTTGTAATCTGTTTACATTCAATAATTTGCCATGGTTTTTATTTGAAAACATGGCAGGTCTGAACAATCTTGTTAGTTAAACAGAGATAACTTTAAGCAATAGCATAGGAAAGTGAAGGAAGAGAACTAATGAGGTAGAACTATGATTTTGAGGAATTGGAAGGGCCTACAAGGAATTTAAGGAAAAGAAATAGAAAACTATGGGAGGTTTTGCTAAATGCGGTCATGAACTAGTGAGAGGCGGGCTGGTATGTGGTTTTTTTAAGTTGTGGTTAATTTAGATGCATATACATGATGCTGCTGTGAGTGTAGCTTCATGAAGATCATGAGAAGTTGAAGTTTGATGTCGGCAGTTCAACTTGAAGTTAAATCTTGATTAGTTAAAGGTATTATGTCATCATATAATTATGAATATTATTCCTGTTTGCACATAAAATTAACTTGTTGGATTGTATGATCTTTTGTTGAAATGTTAGGAAGCTAAATCAATTAGTTATAGTAATAATGTTTTTAGCATGCTGTTTTTGGCTGATTTGGCAAAAACCATTTCCTTTTTTATAGATTAAGTTGAAATTAATAAACAAAGATGCCAGGAATGCACAAGTTGTCTCTTTCTGTTGATGCATTGGCTATTCTGGGGGAACCTATTGAGAGGCTTTTTCTATGGGGTCATTCAACAAGTCCCTTAATGATTAATGGAGTTAAAGAAGTTCTTATATTTGGAGGTTTTGGTGGTGTTGGTCATCATGCACGAAGAAATTATACTTTGTTGCTTGATACAAAATCGGGACACTTGAAGCAAATTGATGCTATTGGATCTCCATCGCCTCGTGTTGGCCATACTTCCACAGCAGTGGAAAATATTATTTATGTGATTGGAGGTAGGGGTGGTCCTATGCAAATTTTTAATGATGTTTGGGCTCTAAACACAACTGAAAAAAGATGGACATCGTTAAAATGTACTGGACACATCTTTCACCCAAGGTAACTTGGCCCATCATTTGAATGTCTATTACTTGTTATTTTTTTTTTTGCATCTTCCCTTGCATGCCATATATAAGGTGCAGTATTATCTCAACCTTTTGGGGATCTGGTTTGTGTTTCTTTCTTGCTAATATACAGTGCGTTCATGTGAGCTGAGCATGAATTTGTTTTTTTAAGTCTTGTTAAAATAATTTTAATATTTATTATTTCATACAGTTCAACTTTTAGTTTAATCTTAATTGAAATTTTTGAACTTTGAACCTCTCGTTCTTCTTGTTCAATGTTTGTTTTGAATTTTAAAACATTGCTCTTCTATATTGGAATCTCATCGAAGTTGTTTATATGAAGCAACCTCCTATGTATTTTGCTTGTGGCGAGATCAATATATAGAAAAAGGCTATATATGGGGTTGAAACAATGTGCTCATATATATATATATATAAACAATGTGCTCATATATGGTTCAACAAACTAAGTAATAGTTTAGCTGATGTTGGACTACAAAGTACTGCTGATCATTATATCTTTATTTGACAGTTCCTTTGCCACGATGATTCTTCTCGTGTATGTTGATATTCTTCTTACTAGAAGTGACACTTTGAGTATTGCCGAAATATAGCTTTGTCTTCATAAATTGTTTATAATTGACGATCTTGGGTGGCAAAAATGTTTTCTTGGTATTCAGCTTACATACAATAAATTAGATGGTTTTTCTAATAAAAAATATGTACAAATATTTTTGAAGATATATATTCTTGGATGCGAACCTGTTGACTCTCTTATGCATACTTAGCAAACAATTTCAAATGAGGAAATCTTTAAAGACACCTCTTGCTATAGTTGTCTTGTTGTTACCATGATACTTCATATTTCTTTTTGTTGGTGTGGATATGTAAATTCAAAAAAGAAACATTGGCCGGTTGTCCTAAGGATTTTGAAATATGTCAATAGATCTTATGGAAAATGACTGGCTTATTAACGAAATAATCACCTAAGGATTGAAGCTTATGCAATTGTTGATTTTGTTGGCTTTATTGAGAATTTGAAGTAAACTTTTGAATGTTGTAATTTTTGGGGTGATATTCTGAGAAAGAAACAAAGAGCCCATGGCTCATCATGCCTGCGGAATCATGTAGGTAATACCCTCCTTTAGACGTTTAATTTTTCTGTTACCCAATCTATACTTCTAAAATGGATAATCATGCAACTATTATTGTCAACAATCCGGTCTTCTATGAAAGAACTAAACATATCAAAGTTGATTCACTTTATCAGGAATGTTGTTCTGTCAAAGAAGATCACTCTTTATTTTGCTAGTAAAGAATAATTGGTTTTCTTCACTAAGGCTCTAGGACCTTTTTTTTCAAACCATCTGGATCTATTATATATATATATTTTCTAGTCTAAGGGAGTTGTTATCATAGGAAAATGTTGAGTTGGGAAAATGATTTATATTTAGTGAGTAGTGTATGATTATTTGATTGTTCTTTAGACATTGTACTCATTCCTTTATTTTAATTTGATTGGTTTTCTAGTGAATAATATATAGTAATGAGTCTCCCTCCAATATGAAGGTTAATAGAATCATGAGCTAGAACAAGAAAGATGAAATTAATCTATCTTAATTCAAAGCCACAGAAACAGTTGATAATTTATTCGTTCAGGTGCTAATTAAACTTTAAATTTAAAGTTGAGGTGTCTGGTCTTTTACTCTTCTTCTTCTTCTTTACTTTAATTTTCCTTGACTATTCAGGCACCGACATGCAACTGCTTCTGTAGGCTCAAATATATATGTTTTTGGTGGTCTAAATAATGAAACCATTTACTCCTGCATGAATGTTCTGAATTCTGAAAGTTTGGATTGGAATAATGTCAACGTTCTCGGGGAATCACCATGTGCTCGACATTCTCATTCCATGGTTGCATATGGTCCTCTTTTGCTTATGTTTGGAGGCTATGATGGTCAGAAAGTACTAGGTGATCTTTATAGTTTTGATACTAGAACATCTTTATGGAAAAAGGAGAAGACTACTGGAAGAGCTCCTTCTCCTAGGTTTTCTCATTCTATGTTCATATATAAAAACTTTATTGGCATCATTGGTGGATGCCCTCTCACGCAACATAGTGAAGAGCTGGCTTTGCTAAATCTAATCAACAACAGGTGGATTAACGTGTCCATCAACACTGTTGGCAGGGATTTTTGGATTCGTAGTTCAACAATTGTTATTGGTGATGAACTTATTATTGTTGGGGGTGGAGCTTCTTGTTATGCATTTGGCACAAGGTTTAGTTACCCGATGAAAATGAGTTTGAACTTGTCCTCCGTAGAGGATACTTATTCTAGCAGGTTAAATGAAGAATCAGTTACCTTTCTTGCAATGGAAGGGCGCAATATCTCACAACTTAATGGAGACGAATTGCAGGATTGCTATCCTGTTTCTGGGTCTTATTTAAAGGCTGACTTATCTGCTAGTAAGCGTGGAATTCAGTCAGATGCTAAGCAACATGCTTTACAAATCAAGAAAAAACATGCAAAGCTTGTGAAGGATGTATTGAAGAAATTTGGATGGTTGGATCTCACTAAGAAGGTTTACCAGAGTCTTGATGGGATTCATATATGCTTACCAATCTCTGGAGAGTTCTTTGACATCTATCTAAAAGAATCTCTTAATTCTAATGATAGAGCTACCGATTTATGTGAAGAGAACGATTTTATGGAAGAATTTTCAGTAAATAAGGTTTCAATTCCAATGGCGTTGCACATATTTTCATTATTTAATGCTTCCGTAATTATTGATGGTGCTTCATGTGATAAAAAGATCCCTAGCAGTCCTCAAAAAATTATGAGAGAAATGGTCTGTTCTCTGTTGACAGAAAAACGGTTGCCACTGGGAATGTTAGAGGAGTTGCCTGTTAGGTCTGTTTTACATCTCATTGAAATGCTTGTTACTAGATCGGTTTTTTTCCTCATTTACATGAATATCTGTATGATCCCTGCACCGCACTTGATGGCTGATGTGCTTCTTTTGTATTCTATTTTTAGTTGTTGCATTTTCCTTGGGTATTGAGTTAATTGGCATTGTACTTTTGAGATATAAACAGCTTCATGTAGTGAAATTTTTGGCTTTTAGGTGGGATCGACTTGGTGATATTACTGTGCTTCCAGTTACATCATTTAGAGACCCAAGATGGGATTCCATTGCGGAGGAGCTTTGGCCAGTGGTTGCAAAATCACTCGGGGCTTTGCGCCTCGCTCGCCAGGTAGCTATTGCTTGACTTGCTTGGTCATCTAGATGGTATATTTAACTCTTTCTTTCCTTTTTGTTTCATTTGCTTCAACTTTACCAAATATTTAACCCAATATTTTTATATGATTTATCTGGTAAATTACATCTTGGTCCTCAAACTTTTGCCTGCTAATGATTGGGTATCTGTTTTTTTCTTCATGCAGCCCGATAAAATTTTCCATTTCCTGACAGATTCCTAATCAGTAAGGAAATCTTTGATGGTGGATGACCAAAATTTCCTCAACAATTCTTTTTCATCATCACCAAACTTATCCACTAGTGCTACTGGCCACTTCTGCTTTGCCTTTAGTGATTCATTGTTTGTGATGCACAAGGACCCAATTATTTTGATGTTTTGTTCATTCAGATTTGATTTCATGGTCGTGGTGCAAGGGTCCAAAATAAATTTCAAATGACATGATGAAAAAAATGGAAGCTAGGACTGTACTTTAATATATATTCTTTTTTTTTTCCCGAACTTTGAGCCAACCTCTTTTTTAATCATGTTTATCGTTTGATCTTGAACTTGCTGTATAGAAAGACCCTGCCTGACCACTAGCCTTCTAAGAGTTTGTGGAAAGGTATTATAATGTTTATTAATGATAAATTATGCACCACAAACTTATTAATATGTCAAGTGGTTGGGATGCTAAAACTAAAATGAAAGATAGGGGCAGCATCAAGTCATGTTAGATGGAGCTAAGCTTAACTTGAACTTGAAAAGTTGAAATATCTTAGTTTAACTTGACTTAATTTTGATTTAAATTTGAAAAAAAAAAGTTTGAGTTGAGCTAGTTTAGCTTGAAATTATTCCATTTTGAACCATTTCAATTTTTTGGGTTGACCCAAAATCATGCATTTTTATTTGAACTTGAAAAAATTTCTTAATTCTTTTTTAAGCAAGCTTTATCTTGAAAAACAAACCTAGAAGGAAGGGAGTTTGATTGGAAATAGTTGTAGAACTAGAAAACTATTGCTGAAATCAGAATTTTCGGAAACTCGCCAAGCAGGTTTTGAGGATTTAATGGAGTAAAAAACAAGAAAAAACTCTTGATTGAACAATAGATGAAAGTAAATAGCAAGGTACAATTGATCCTCAATTCAAGAGGAGGATCTTTCTCTCTAAAATCTCTAGACGTAGCTAGAGCCCAAGAACACCAAAGTACTGCCAAAATTAAGAAAACTCAAGATAACCCTAACCCTAATTCCAACCTCTTACATAAAGCACACAAATAACTCCCAAAAAGTGATGTGAAACGTACACGAAAGGATGATTAGATTAAGGAAGTTGCATGCTTAATTTTAGGAGCCACAATAATTATATTCTTTATATTGAATTTAAACGACAAGATAAAATACAAAGAGCGGCAAAACAAGCTTAGGCTAAATTACATGCATAGGAGTTAAGATCGTAAAACAATCAATTTAATCTAACGTTGCATTCATGAATGGTTTCAACAATAAATCCCAATGCTAATAATAATATTAGTCACTCTGATGAAATCCTCTCACTCAACTCATTAAACTCTAGGATTAAGCGGATAACAATTAACAAGATTTCTTAGGAATCAATTAAACCACAAAATAGAGTGACTAAGGAAATAAAGGATTAGGAAAAGAGTTCACCAATTTCAAGCAGTAACCAGCGGTGGATGACCTCAAATCAGCTACCTCTTTAGTCTAAGAGATCTGCACAGCCGTATGGAATAAGTATGGAATTCTGGACAGAGGTTGGGGCCTCCCGGGCGAGGGTGTGGTGCAAGGAAGCCTGCCGAATTGCTGAACAGCAGCTACGACATCATCCCAGACAATTATGCTTGCTGATTTTGATATTAGTGGACAGTGGACAGCAATGGTGATCTCTCTAATTCACTGGATAGCAGTTGTAATGGCAGAAAAAACCTGTAACAGCCCTTGGAGGGCTTCGAGACAACTATCAGGGTGACTTCAGGTGGCAGAACAGTGAGGAAACTGGGTTGGTTCTTCTTGGCAACAAGATGTGAAGGAGCATACTAGCAAATTGGACATCTAGGATAGCTGGAACGTGGAACTCTTGTGCAGGAATTTGGTGGCTGCAAGAGGAGTTGAGAATTTTCCACTGAATGGACTAAATAGGGGCGGCACTTTTGATGGGAATTAATTGAGTGAGCAATAGGGAAGGGGGCGGGTAAGAGAGAATATTTTAGCCAAATTTGAAATTAATTTTAGATCTTAAGTGGATTTGGCGGGATTAAATTTGAATTTTGAATTCAAATTAAATTGGGATAGAGCCTTAATTGGAAGCAATAGAAAATAGCCCATTAATGGGGAGGCCGGCTATATCAAGAGAGGAGGGTATGTGGAGGATTTTAATAAGTTTCCAAACAAGGTTTTGCCAAATAGGAAAGGGAATAAATGTCCCTCTCTAATTTAAAATTAGATTAGATTGAAATTTAAGACTTTCCTTATTTGGAGTTTTACAAATTAGGAATGTTTTTGAAATTCAAATTTGAATTTCAAATAATTGTGAACCTTCCTATCTTGCTTGATTCAACCTAGGGAGCCATGATGATGTTTGGAGTCATCATCATGATGGGGAGCCATGTAAGGGACGACTACAATGGGGAAGGGGCGGTTAGGCGTCGGATTGGGTGGGCTTGGCTAGCGGGTGGACTTGAAGTGGTGGAACTAGGGGAGGAATTGGGTGGAGGGGATTAAGCAACCGGTGGTGGAGGGGCAAGAAGGGGCCGACGGGTGGAGTGGGTGAAGGAAGAAGAGAAAAACACAAATAAAATAGAAATAAACTAACTAATCATGAGCCGTGGACCCTTCCAACGATTGGTGGGTATTGCGCTTGCTCATCTTGAGCTCTCTCTCCCTTCTCTATAGTGCTCACACAAGAAGAAGAAGAAACACAGGAAAATTTTCATTAATCAATCATCATCCCAAATTTCAAGAGAGCTCGCCTATAAATAGACCTTATGACAAGAAAAGAAATAAAGACTAAAATGCCTTTCGGGCTACGACATCACATGATCACCTCTAGGGGTAAAATGGGAAAAAAACATGAATATAAAATAAACTAATACATAAGACACATAAAAAATAAAATAAACTCTAGATCGTAGTCATTTGTTTTCTGATGTCCTCATTATTCTCTCTGGGTGGGAGAAAACTCGACTCCGTCGAGTGGGTGTTTCGAGAACATCTCTTGCATCTGGGTCGACCTGCTGTAGCTACTCGCGCTCTGACCACATATCCTCTTACTCTGGTTTACCTTTTCACCTTATGAGATATCTTCTTTGTCCACCCTCGTTTATGGAAATAATGTCGTCACTCGGAATCAAGTCAACTTTCTTCGCTATAGGTATTTTGGGAATAATTTTGGGAGTGGAGGTAGGCTTTGGGGTTCTCACAAGGTGGGGGTCACACAAGGCTTAATTTGAAGTGGATTTGGGGTTTAAACTCTAGACCTTCATAGGCTACTAAATCTTCTATGTTAGAAAAGGAATGAATGTTCAACTCTGCAAGCAGATCCACCACGTAAGCATTGTCATTGATTTTATTGACTATTTTAACTAATCCTACACTTTTAGCATGTAATTGCTTTACAATTCATTATGGGAACACGCCGGATGAATCTGCACCATCACTGAATCACCAACCTCAAAAGTTTTAAATCGTCGTTTAAATTCAGCATGAAGTCTATAATTATCATCGTTCTGTTCAATTAGGCGTGCAATTTTCTTAAGTAATCCATGACGATGCGGTGTAAATGCGGCATGTTTTATGCGACCTCATGTGTCCAAAGTTCAAGACTCAACAAAATAAATATTGAAATGATGTAATGCAAGAGATTTGATATGCATGATGGATGAAATGAATTGTAGACTCACGCAAATTTTAAATAGAGGAAAGTTTTGGAAGACAACAGACTACAAAACTCACACAAACATACTAAATCACAAGCACACAGATAGGAATAAAGATGGATCAGTCACCAAATGCGAGGACATAAAGTTTTCATGTTTAAAAGAACTGATGTAGAAGGAGCAATGAAGACATCCTTAGCTATAAGGGTATTTCTATATGGAGTTTCGGCTAGAGTCACAGGTAGTCTCCTAGGGGCAGCAGGGTAATTTAGCAAATTTATCCAACTAAGAGAGGGACGGTCTTTAACGGGGGAGGACAAGACTATATAGGGCATGATGGAGGAATCAGAAAAATGATAAGACGATGGGTCCTGACTCACAACCATAATTGGATAGCTCAAAGAGTCACCATTATGTATGAGACTCAAAAAATGGGGATGGGTATCCATAACAGAAGTGGGAACAACAGTTAGTGTGCGAACATGAAAGTGGGCTAAGACTTTCTCTAGCATTAAAGTCGGTACGAGGAATGGAGATATAAGTCCAATCAAGAAAGATACACTCGCTCAAATGTAAATCTAGAGGAACAACTCCTAAAATAGACTCCAATAAAATAAGAGGAGGCTCATTATCCAACTGAGCCTCATAACCTTTCAAATTCAAATTACTGTTTTTCGAACTCATATTACTATTCTTAATAGGATCTATTTTGGTCATAACCCTAAGGTCAATGGATTCGGGGCCAATTAAATCAGGGTTTAACTCAGGTGGTAAATTCAATTGACTCACTTCCAACTCGAGATTATCCACGTCACCATCAGAATTATCTAAAATTGAATCTGAATTGTTCGGAGTTATCTCAGTAGGAGATATGATTAAATCAGAATCTTCCGAATATAATTTCAATGTGTTCAAGGTCAGATAAGTTTCTTTCGAGATCAACTTAATATCATCCAGGCAAACCTTATCCAAAGGGAAACCCTTGAGGAGACTAGGATCATAAAGGACTAAGGTATCAAGGTTTAAAGGTTCTAGATCTCCTAAATTAGGATTTAAATCATGTAGGGAGTCTAATGTAATCACTTCAGTCTCATCCTCAAAGAATTTTTCGTTATCAGTGATACCATTAGCATCCACGAAATGGATGCACCCAGTCTCAGGTTCAGGGGACCTTTTCTTTTTAATGCATTTCTTTATTAAAATTAACTTGCAGGGTCAAGGACTGGGGAGACTAAAGGTTGACTGGGATGGCTAGAAGTCGGTCCAAGTGGGGAGTCATATGTGATCAATCCAACAGAAGACCCAATAGAGGGTCGGCCATCAAGGCTAAGTGAATACCTACAGGGTGGGAAAATAACCCTGATGTTACTAAGGGATGGGTGGTCTCGACCACAGTGATGTCCACAGCCCACAGGTTGTCCAAACAAAAGAGGCAATTTCAGCAAAACAAGAGAATAACACAAGAAATTTAAAAAGAAGAGCACATAAGAACTACTGAAAGAACTAAGAAGAAAAATACAAGATACAGTTGGATCTTTAATTGGAGAGGAAGATCAAACTCTTTCAAATCCCTAGTTGTCGGCTAGAGCCCACTCAACCTAAACAAAACTAATTACAGCAAAATCAAATATAATCTAAAATCACCCATAATAAGCCTTAAATAGGCTCCCCTAATTCCCTCCTAAATCATCCCCATTTTTCTTAATAACTCCCTTTCAGATTTGAATTAAAATTAGATCTCTTTCCCTAATTAATTTTCTCCCAATTATAGTTAAAACTTGCCTAAACAATTCCCCATCTCTTCTTGCCTACTGCTCACCTTAGTGGGGCTCACCGGTTTAGAAATTGTTGTTGGTGGAACAAAGGAAACTGTTGCTGAAGCATTGGACTTGAAAATGGAATGACACTATGTCAAATGATCTCTGCCTCGAGCATCTCCCTGATCAATCTCTCAGTCTCTTCATTCTAGATTTGGGGATGACAGTACAGACCAACATTGATTGGTGAGACTCATTCCTTCAAGATGATAGTATGCTCGCATTTCCGCGGAGGAGGCACCCCCCCTGAACTGGTTGGAACACCCCTCGATATTGTTGTAGGAGTGGCTGAACCATGTCTAGTGCTTCTATGATTCTATCTTCTCCTCATATTTTTCTCCCTCCAAACTCTATAGCTTCGTCAAAAATCCCACTCTTTCACCCTTTTCCCTCCTTGGAAGTGGCTCCAAAGGTGGCATCTCCTCTTCTTCCCCCAACATTTCCACATCATGATCTTCCCCTCTCCTTAAGGTCCATCAGACTTGCATCCATGTGAAGCCTTAATCCAGGAATATGAATTCTTTTTTAGGGCACAATTTTTTGATAGTGCTTTATCCATACTCGGATTATAACTCGTATAATAGAGCCAGTTGGTGATATTTAGAGTTTGCGTGATATTTTTGAAGATTTGTGCATTTTCTCAATATATTCTTCCTCTTAATCATTATGTAAATGCATTTGCCTTTCAGGGGCGTATCTTACCTACTGGAACAAGGGACAGCACTTTGGAAATTCTTGTGGGTGGTAGTGGGTGGGTTACTCATCAAGAGAACGGAATCCTTTATTCATTTGATGCAACGAAGTGCATGTTTTCCTCAGGGAACCTTTCTGAGAAGCTTCGAATGGCCTGTCAGGATTGTAGGGATGAGGTTGTTGTGGATTTATTTGCTGGGATTGGATATTTTGTATTACCATTTCTTGTCAAGTATGCCTTAGTTCTTTCGTTTCAATCTAAATTATTTTCCAAACTAATCTGCAACTGATACTGACCATTTTTAGTGTTCATGCAATTATCATTTTTTGGGCAGGGCAAAAGCTAAACTAGTATATGCATGTGAGTGGAATTCGCATGCTATTAAGGCTCTTCGGCACAACATTCATGCGAACTTTATGGAAGATAGGTGCATCATACTCGAGGGAGATAATCGTGTGACAGCACCTAAAGTATGGTCTATTTTCTATATATATATATATATATAATGCGCTTGACTTTATTATCCATATTTTTCTGTTAACCCTTCATGCTTTTGCATATGTTTCCTCTTTGTTGATGAACTTTCTATACTCGATTCCATCTCAAGTATCCATACTTTCGTGGATGATGAATTCTTATATATTTGCTTCAAAATCTTGGTATATTACATTGATGATGGATGCTACTGTCTTTTTTAATTATTTAGAAGTTTAACGTTACTTTATGCTATGGTGAATGTGTTTTGCTATGGATATATTGATGTGCGAATATGCTCGTTCTTGTGTTGCAAGCTTGCTATTGCCAGTGGAATGTGTTCTCTGCAAGTTTGCTATTTTTATGGGGTTTTGCCAGTTCTACATGTTATGCTTCCTTTTTGGAGATGTTCTTGCACCGTTTTGATGATGAAATCTTATATATTTTTATTGAGTTTTGTCGTGAGGAGTCCGACAATTGTGCAAGATCATGGGTGGTTTTGCCGACAGTTTGAGTTGTGGGTAGTGGGTGGTTGGCCGAAGGTTTACATGTCAACAACAATTACTTGGAAATTTTTATCTATGAATGCTTAAACACAACAATGGTTACTACTTCCATTGGTTTTTTTATCGTTTGATTTATTTCATGGCATTACCCGTGATGTTATTGATCTTTACTGTCTCCAATGATTAAGTGATTGAGAATGCTTTCAAATTTGCAATGAATCATTTCAGGTTGCTCTATTATTTAATTTTATTTTGTAGCTATTGGGAATCATGCCTAGAATCTGCACTGACACATATATGAATGCTAATGTGAAATCCATAATTTTTAGGGTGTTGCTGATCGAGTATGCCTTGGCCTCCTTCCATCAAGCGAGAGTAGTTGGAGGACTGCTGTGCGAGCCCTAAGGTGATTTCTCACCTTTGTATATTACACCGTACATCTGCTCTGCCCTATTAGGCACTGATGCATTGGAATTAATATAAAGACATAGTAAATAACTAATAATTGCACATCATGCACTGTTTTGTAGACCTCAAGGTGGTTTACTGCACATCCATGGCAATGTCAAGGACTCTGAGGAGAAATCATGGTTAGATTACATTGTTGAATCAATAGTTTGCATTGCAGAAACTGAAGGTATCATTTTAATACGATCGTTTAAAAATTTTTCTTAAACAAAAATATATATTTCAGTTTTTCACTTTTATCGAACCTCATAAACAAAGTGGACTTCAATTTAATTTCTGATGTGTATTTTATTAGGAGCGAAACAATGCTGATATGTCTCTACTAATATTAATTTTAGGTTTGCTTTGGGCTGTTTCACTGCAACATGTGGAGCGAGTGAAGTCTTATGGACCTCACATTCGTCATATTGTAGCTGATGTAAAATGTAAGACGCTGTGATTTTGATCAACGTAGTATTTCTACTTAGCCAGAAGATAATTTTTTTGTAAGTAAGGCTTTAATTTAAGTGATTGGGGTACTCGATTTGCAATCTTTTATTTGATCATATCGAAATCTATCTTTCAGAGTTAGGATTGAGACATATCTATTTGCTGGTTGAATTGATAATTTAGGCTTCGTTAGGGACAGTTTTCTTACTATTTTTTTTTTAATATTTTGTGCCAATTTAAGGCAAACTCATATACTCATTTATACTAGCTATGAACCCAAGACTTTTTGGTTGATGATCAAAACTCGTAACCAATATATCAAGTTGAGTTTACTGTCATTCTACTTTGGTTTTTAGGATTTTAATTTTTTTTCTTGTATAATAGATATTTATAATTTAATAGTCATCATTAAAAAAAAAATCTATTGCTTAGAAAATTTGATAAAAAAAAGAAAAATTTTTTAGAGATTAGATGAAAGAAAGAAAGAAAATTATATATTTTTGTACAGATAAATAACATGAGTTCTAAAAGATTATTCAAATTCAGTGGATGTTATCTGGTTGAAACACATCGATTAAAAAGAAATTGAAAGATTAAGGTTTTGTATGGGATAGTTTTTAGTTAACATTTTTTTTAAAAAATTTATGTTAGGAAGTTGTAGAAAATAGTAAGAAAATTATTTCGAAAGAAACTTAAATTTATGGGCCCTAATCTAGTAGAAACAGCGGCACAATATTGTGCAAAAGAATTTGCGACAGTGCATTCTTCTTCCTTGTTAAAGGATGTGGAATTACAAGGCAAGGTAACGAGCATTAGCATTGGGTGGTGATGGGTTTCTAATCTATTTCAGGGTTTATATGTATTTTGAAATATATTTAGCATAACAAAGACGTGACTAGTGCTTTATATATTTATAGACCAATTGCATTGCTTAAACTTTATGTTGCCCAACGAAATTGCTGATGTATAACACTACCAAAAGGGATAATCAGTTTCACAAATAAATCTGTTATTTCCATTGTATTATCATTTGACTATGGAATGCTCATTGGCGAAAGTGACCAATGGAAATTAAAAAAGTTTGGATTTTCCGTTTGATAATGGATCAATAACGACTGTTTTGATTCATTGAACTAATTTTTACTTCAATTCATTGATTTTCAAGCATCAAAACATGTCTAACCAAATTTCATAATGCAACTCAAAGTAAGCTGGAGGTGGAAGAGAACTACTGAACTTTGTGCGAAGACCAAGGTTGAAAAGGAGTACAGTGTGGTGCCGAGTTGTTTGGCCAACGGTTGGCCAATGAACCGTTGAACTCTTTGTTGATGTGATGCTCCAGGATCCAGATGACGAGAGTTGTGAATATTAGTGCACACAGATAAATGACACCTGTCCTATGGTGAACTCAGTCACGTCTCATATAGGCAAACACATAGATCCGACAACTTCCGAAGAAATATTCATTCCCTCGACCTTGAAATTTGTTGTATCAAATCTCAAGACCATCATGCCCACCCAATTAGCCACAGATAACTACTCACTTTGGCGATCTCAGATTAACAAAAATTTTCGCGCTAATGGTTTTAACAAGTTTCTTGATTCGACGCTATCTTCCCGAGTGCGGATGCTTCAACTATCAGACGGATCCTCCATTCCAAACCATCTATATGCTCAATGGATTTTAACTGATCAGAATTTGGCTGATGCGATATGCTCTACCATTTCTTCCTCAGTTTTACCATACGTCGTTAATCTTGATTCTACGGCGACAAAAATGGCTTATACCGATCCCTCTAGTTTTACTTTTAAGGATCTGAAGAAGCATCAGGTTCTTCTTCAAGGACCGTGCAATGATGGCTTATACTCCATTCGGACTCGATCATCCAACTCTCACTTGCAGGCACTCTCAGCTACCACAACTCTATCCATTCCTTGGCATAATAGGCTGGGTCATCCTCATTAGAGAGTTCTTGATCTTATATCAACATGTAATCATCACCTTCATATAACTGTTAGTTCTTCTTCGTGTCAGTCGTGTAACGAGTCTAAATGTCATAAACTTGCCTTTGACAAATATGTAAATTGTCAGAAGTATCTTCTTTCTCTAATTCATTCGGATGTTTGGGGTCTTGCCCTAGTTATTTCGATTCAAGGGTATATGTATTATGTTATATATGTAGATGATTTCTGTAGATTTACGTGGTTATTTCCAATGAGGCACAAATTTGAGGTTACTAACATTTTTATTGCCTTTAAAGCTCAAATTAAAAAATATACCTCCCATCAAATTAAAAGTTTGCCACCGATGGAGGTGCTGAATACATTAACCACTCACTAAATCAATTTCTTCAGATTCATGATATCTCTCATCAAATATCATGTCCGTACACACCCGAACAAAATGGTGTTGTTGAACGAAAGCACATACATATAATTGAGACTACTAGAAATCTGCTTCTAACGGCATCGGTTCCCTACAGATACTGGCCTGATACGGTCTTAACCATGGTTTATCTCATCAACAGAATGCCATCCCTCACTACTACCAACATCTCACCTTTTCAAATCTTACACAACACCAAACCCGACTACAGTTATCTTCACAAATTTAGATGCTAATGTTTTCCTCTTACTCTATCTCACTTTTGTCACAAATTACAACCGAAAGCTAATCCCTGTGTCTTCCTAGGTTACTCTGAAACTTACAAAGGATATAAATGTCTGAACATTACTACTAATAAAATCATCATGTCCAGACACATTAGCTTTGACGAACAATCTTTTCCGTTTACTAAGGTTACTTTCTCTCACAGCACTCCTGTTGTTGACACCTCCCCATTCCTTCTAACTCCCACATCTGTGCAATCCTCGGCTCAGACTATCAGCCAGCACCAAACTCATCCCACTATGAATCAATCATCTCTTCCGGCTCAAAAATCTTCTATCACACCCCGTCCCAACACTCAGGCTGCTCAACCCGAGAACTCTCTGACCACTTCTAAATCTATTTTCCCTCTTCACCCAATGGTCACTCGGCGGCAAACCGGTTTGCTCAAACCTCATGTCAGACTAAATCTTATTCATTAACAAAATCTACAAGAACCCCCTTATGATCCAACAACATAAACTGACGTTGTAAAATCATTCAAACGGCGTCAAGCAATGGTTGCAGAATTCCTGGCTCTGCAAAAGCAAGGAACTTGGAACCTGGTTAGGCCACCCTCTGAGGCATCGGTTCTTGGATGCAAATGGACTTACCGAACCAAACATCATGCAGATGGCTCGGTGGCCTAACATAAAGCAAGGCTGGTCGCTCTTGGAAATCACCAATAATATGGTATAGATTACACAAAGACATTTAGTCCTCTCCCTTTACCAAGGCTGGCCCGTTCAACAACTTGATGTGGCAAATGCTTTTCTGCATGGAAATCTTTCAGAAACTATTTATATGGTCCAACTGAAAGGGTTTGAAGACTCTCATCCAGACTACGTGTGTCTCCTACACAAAGCGCTCTATGGTCTCAAACAAGCCCCAAGACAGTGGTACAATACATTCACATCCTACTTGGTGTTGCTTGGCTTCTCGCACTGAAGCTCCGATCCATCCCTCCTAATATTTCGACATCTACATGTTCAAAATTTTCTAATTATGTATGTAAATGATATACTTCTAACTGGTAATGATCAAGATGCTATCACAAAAATTCTTGGTCAACTCAACAACAAGTTCTCTATGCAAAACTTGGGAGAGCAAGTGAATTTCTCGGTATCAAGATAGATCATCACACACAACATTTCTTCTTCTCTCAAAAGCAGTACACATACTCGATATTACAACAAGCTCAACTTACGCACTGCAACCTTCTATCCAACCCCACATGTACGAAGCTCCCTTCGATTTTTCCTGCAGACTCTACACTCTCCGATCCAACTCTTTACAGGAAACGACCTTTCTTCCCATACCAAGAAGCACAGCAGAGAGAGGTTCACTACCATTGAGAAAGAGAAGAAAGCTATGGACGTGGGTTCGGGGAAACTCACCGGATCTCTTCAATATTTGACGCTTACTCGTCATGACATTGCATACAACGTCAACGTGCTATCTCAACACATGCATAATCCTCTTCCTCAACATATTTATCTTCTTAAAGACTTCTACGTTATATCAAAGATACGCTTGACTATGGAATACCCATTACAAAAACTAATCTTGTGCTTAAGTCTTTTTCAGATGCAGACTGGGCTGGAGACCCAATCTCTTGCAAATGAACTTCGGGTTATTGTTCTTTCCTCGGCAACACCGTATATCCTGGACGGTTAAAAAGCAACATACCATTGCCAGATCATCAACGGTTTCGGAGTACCGTGCACTGGCCGCACTTACATCGAATACCATTTGGCTTCGAAGGCTTCTGACTGACTTTGGTGTGCCGCAGGATCATCCAATAGATATGTACTGCGACAATACCACCGCTATTGCACTAGCAAATAAATCAGTTTTCCACGCCCGCACGAAGCATATTGAAAGTGATCAGAAATTTATCAGGGATCATATTCACAACCATAACATTCGTCTCTGTCCAATAAGCACAATTGATCAAGTAGTTGATATCTTCACTAATTCTCTCTCTACACCTCGGTTTCATCAGCTCCGGACCAAACTGACAGTCATTCATGACCCATCAGTTTGCAGGGGCGTATTAGTGCACACAGACAAATGACATCTGTCCTATTTAACTTATGCTGTTTATGTTCTTGTGTAATGTCTTGTGCAATGAGGTGGCATTAGTTTATTGGTTATCATGTATAGGGACCACGATTCATGCTCTCCTTTTATACTTAGCTTTATTCCTGTAATAGACAAAGACTCTTATCTCTTTGTTCTCTCTCATTCCTATCTTCTCTTCTTTGTTTCTTCTTGTATCCCTGTCATCCTGTCTTCAGGTTTCTGCTCATGATCTTCGGTTTCTACTGTGAAGATTAAGAATGTTCCACTGACCAGCCATAGATTTGAAGTCAATGGCTTCAAAAAGATCCATGCATTCCTCTCCCTTTCATTATCTATTGGAACCACCATTGACAGGTCACCATATGGTACTGTAAAGTCCACATAAAGTGACCGGTCCTGTGTGATTGAAATATCACCGAC